ATTGGAAATGTCTTCAGACAGTGCTGACTCAATAGCCTTGAAATGGAGATGTAGTCTGTGTGTAGTTGGCAACAACTAGGGGAGTAAAATCCACAGGGACTCCTTTACCTTTATACTCCTTTACCTTAATACCTTTATACAGCTGTCATTTTACAAGAAACTTTTTAAATGCTTGTTGACCTACTCACCAATTCCTGATTAGCAAAGAATACTAGTGAAGTGGCTGCTATACACTAAAAGAGTACTCCACCAGTAAGGAATTTGAGTTATGTCTTATTTCTAATGAACTTGGAGAAGCTGAAAAGTTCTTGCTGCTACTGTGTGATGTAATGAAGCACACCATGTCACATTTCAAGAACCTGTGATCTTGCCTGGTTGCATCATGGAGCACTGCACTGTGGCTAATAGTTTCCATATGCCATGATAACATAATAATAATAATAATAATAATAATAATAATAATAATAATAATAATAATAATAATAGTAGTAGTAGTAGTAGTAGTAGTAGTAGTAGTAGTAGTAGTAGTAGTAGTAGTAGAGTTGGAAGGGACCTTTGAGGTCTTTTAGTCCAATCCCCTGCTCAGGCAGGAAACCCTATACCATTTCAGGCAAATGGTTGTCCAGTCTCTTCGTAAAAACTTCCAGTGTTAGAGTATTCACAGCTTCTGGAGGCAGGTCGTTCCACTGATTAGTTGTTCTAACTGTCAGAAAATTTCTCCTTAGTTCTAGGTTGCTTCTCTCTTTGGTTAGCTTCCATCCATCCTGCCTTCAGGTGCTTTGGAGAATAGCCTGACTCCCTCTTCTTTGTGACAACCACTTATATATTGGAACACTGCTATCATGTCACCCCTAGTCCTTCTTTTCATTAAACCAGACATACACAATTCCAGCAACTTTTCTTTATACGTTTTAGCCTCCAGTCCCGTAATCATATTTGTTTATATGGATTTCAACAATTAGTTCTTTTTTGAGAAAATACACATTTCATAATCTGATTCTTGGTAATTAATCCTTCTTATATCAGTAGCTTGATGATTCTGAAATACTTCTTTAAATGCAACAATATACTCATATTTATTCTCTGTAACATTTAATGTAAAACTTTTGGCCTTCCATCCTGAATGCAGCCAGTCAAATTCACCCAGGTCATTGGTCATCACCCAGAATCCTGTGGGCCGAGTTCAGTTAGGCAGTGCTGGACTGACTATGCCTCAAAAAAAATCCTAATAATAATATGTAGCAGTTATATAATCTTTCAGAATATAATGACATACAAAGTTGGACTAAACCCGTTTAACAACCATGTAATGTTGCAGAAGTTAGTGGAAAATCAATGCAGCCCTATATTTCCCCAGAAAACCATCAGTGGCTGTGAGCAAATAGAGCAACATCAAAAGAATGCATAGTTTTGATTGTCACCATCCTCCTGTTGGGAGATGGCACTAAAAGAACAGCAACCATGTAAAGCAGGGGTAGTCAACCTTGGCTCTTTTATGACTCGTGGACTTCAACTCCCAGAATACCTGAGCCAGCACAGCTGGCTCATGAATTCTGGGAGTTGAAGTCCACGAGTCATAAAAGAGCCAAGGTTGACTACCCCTGATGTAAAGGATAGAGCTGTCCTTCTGCATATATATATAGACACCCATTAGATCAATATCTGCTTTATGTAAATGCTATCCTATGTTCTGAATATCCTCTTCCCTGTTGTGTCACTGCTGATCTTGTAATGTTCAGAGTTATCCAGATATATGATAGCCTAATATGTCTATAAGAATTTCTAAATGTTTGGTCTTCAGGCTATACATCACAATGACGTTTCATACCAAAGTAAACAATAATTTATAATCCATTGTCAAAGAATAAAGGATCCAATACTACCCTGGTAATGATACCTTTCTATTAGTCTAGAGTTTTTTTAATCCTCGACTTATGATCACAATTGAACCCAAAATTTCTGTTACCACGTGAGACAGTTGTTAAGTGAGTTTTGCCCCATTTTAAACCTTTCTTGCCACAGTAAATCATTGCAGTTAAGTTAGTAACACATTTGTTAAGTGAATCTGGCTTTCTCGTTGACTTGCTTGTCAAAGGTGATCATATAACCCCAAGACATTGCAACTGTCATAAATACATGCCAGTTGCCAAGCATTCAAATTTTTATCATGTGACCATGGGATGTTGCAAGGATTGTAGCTGTGAAAAATGGTCATAAGTCACTTTTTTCAGGGCTATCATAATTTTGAACAGTCACTTAATGAATGGTTGTAAATCAAGGACTACCTGTATAAGATAATTCAGTTCATGGAGCTCCCCTATCAGCCAGCTTTGTTTATCCAAGAAGAGCATACCTGGTATACATATTCCATTAAGTACAAAATATGAAGCATTCTATTAAAATGAAGAAGATTTCTAAGTAAGTCAAAAATTCAGGTTGACACCTGCATAACCTGAATTTTGATAGCTGGATCTCATAGCCATCGGTTGGGAACCCTGATCACTGAGATTTGAGAAATTTAATGTTATAGTCATGAGATGTGTAAGTAGATTATTTGCATATACAATTGGATTTATAAAAGAAATATATCATCTAAGCTATCTAAATATGTGTATGAAAGTTTCTGTTTTAGAAATAAAAGGAGTGCCTTGCAGTAGCATTTTAGAAACAAGACAGCCTTTATGAATACAAACAAGAATGCCATGTTGTATGTACCACTTTGTGCTTGTTGCATTAAGGTCAACGTGTTTAAGACAAAATGCAAGTATAAAACAGTAGCCATGGGGGGGGGGAAAACCCTGAACAACTAATTGGAGAAGAAACAAAATGTTTCTGAAGGGAAATATTGTTTATATCAGCCAAAATAATTTTATTAAAATTAAGGAGGCTGCAATTAGGTATAGAATTAATCCTAATTTGAAAGCTCCACTATCCTGATTTTACAGAAGTTTTCCCAGCATTAAAATAGCCACAAGTAGGAGATTCAGTGAAACATTTTTTTAAATTAAAAACTTTATTATTTTATATTTTCATTACAATTCACAGTTTATACATGGTAAGACAACTTTTCTTACCATGTTGACATTCAGAACACTGTGCTGGGGGGGCAATGGTGGTGATGGGGCCTTTTTCTTTGAAGAGCTTGGCCTGATATATATTTAATGGAACTTTACTGATCTGAGATGTACACTCTTGTTAATTCTTCACTGATTGCTATTTACACCTATAACTTAGATTTGTTAGAAAAAAATGAAGCATTCATAAATTTAACATTCATAGTTTATACTGCTATTAATAATAACCAAATGATACGGATATGTTATTTGAACAGAATCCAATTGTAGTCCCATTTTGTATTAAATACTCAGAGCCAAGAGTGAAGGCCTCAAATAGCTCTGTCAGTGTAAGCTCCTGTGATTTCAGTGGAGTCTTGCACCTTAGTTATGCTTTGAGGATCAGGCTGCCTATTAATCTTTTAAGGGGTATTTATATACAGCCAGGTTGCAATAGAATAAAATGTTGAAAATAATTTAAAAGACGAGCCATTCCATTCCATTATTTTAAATTCTGCATTCCTTCTGAATCTCATACACAAACTTAGAAACAGAAGACACAAGAGGCTATAAAATTAATTTGTGTTTTTTTAAAAAAACAATCAAAGAAATTCTAAGGATTGGTTTCAGATCTGCATATCAGCCTATTATATCCAACCAAGAGTCATCTATTTAATTGTACTCTGTGCTATTGATCAACTACTTCCATGTCTGCATTTGTCTTCAGATACCATCTATATCCTTGGTGTTGAAAGTCACAGTGATGCCAGTTTCAATTGCATTCCTACTTTTATTCCCAGCTGCAGTGGGCAAAAATGTAGGATGTAACATTCAAGGAAAGCAATCCAGCAGGCACAATCCCTGTGCTAAGTGAGCTTCTAACATGACACAGATAAAACAAATGGAGAGAAAGAAAAAAAAAAGAATGCTTTTTTTGCCAGCAGCGCTGCACTTGCTAGTAGCTGACCTGCTGCTGATTCAGGATTTTTCTGCATTCTTTATATGCAAAGAAATCTATTGCACCAAGATATATCTCTTGTCAAATAATTTAATAATACACAACTGAAGTTTTTTGGTACATGGTGCATGGGTATGAAAGGTTGAGTAGAGTTTAAGTAATGAGACCTGACATGGATCCATAAATTCTACATATCAGTTGAGTGTACATGTATAACCTGCACCTGAGTTTAAAAAAAATTATAGGGGACACCTTTTGCAACCCTTATAATTGCAGTGCCTTTAAAGCTAGATTAGAAGTGGCGTTTTGATGTCCTTGATTTGGCATATTTTTTAACGCTGGTATCCTTGGCTTCAGACATCCTTAAAACATGGTTAGGGGGAGGGCAAGTGGAAATATAAACATGAGATATTGTACTCATGCAAGAACCAACAAACTAACAAAAACCCATATGAAAGATATAGAGGTTCTGTTTCTTTAAAAGATAAGGCACTGACAAAAATTTCTTAGGTAAAAGGCTGCATAAGATTTTCTTGCCATTTACATATAGATTGTAGTCCATGTATGGTCCTTTCTTAGGCTTGGCATGGTAGACCCTGAAAAGTTTAAGGACTGATCTCTCAAAGCTACATTGTTAACCTAAACCAGCATTATTCATTCTTAACGCCTTGCGGCGCAACTGGAGAGATGAAAAAAACAAAAACAAAAGCCAGTCTGGGCACCAATATTTAGGCTTTTTTTTTTTTAAGGCATTGAACATTGCCTAGTCCAGCATTTGTCAATGACCAAAGTGCCATTCATCTTGTGTCTTTCAAGAAATATAATGATGACTCCATATTGTGGGTAGATTTCTGTTGGAACTCATGCATATGATTTTTAAAAAATGCTATTGGCATCGGTTATGGACAGAGGGAAAATAATCAGGACCTACAAGGTAAGTCTAAACCATAGGTGGCTTCTTATTAAAAGATCAGGCTTCAAAGTCACTGCTACTTAATGTTCTCAATCACAGCAATTTCTTCCGCTGCACAGTGAGGAGTCAAGCCATTCATATAAATGCTATCTGTCTTTGTGATGGCAGGCAAGATATCTTTCTCGCTGGTGAGGTGGTTGACAGACAAGGTTCTTTTGCAAGGAGTCAGGTCTTGGCTGTGATTCACTGCCATTTCTGCAGAGAGCTTTCTTTTGATGGAGGTAGCCCGCTGGAATTTGTCATAGATCTCAACGCTCAGGCGCCTGCGGGTTTCTTTGAACTCTGCGGTAACATTGGCTGTCCACTCCGCTGCATGAGCTCTGAACTCTCCCACCTAAAGAATCAGGTGGGAAGAAGGAAAGACAGTTAGTATTGCATTGCATTTTTTATTTAAAAAAAATGGTGTATCTGGAAAAGAAAAAAAAATGTGTTCAAAACCTGACAGTAAGTAGCTATCCTTTCTAAGAGATTTTTCTATTCCTTCTCTATTTTATTTCAGTGCAAAGATTTAGCCACCTCCTTGCTCATCTAATAAAAAAGACACACATTGCAACATCTAAGATCTTTACCTCAGAAACATTTCACAGCTCTTTTTATAATGTTACATAGGCCAGTGAGGTGAAATTGCTTTTAAAAATTAAGGCTTGACAGCTGAGACAATCCCAGCTGGACAGGAGAGCTGAATTCTCAGCAATCCAGAATGCATGTTATGTGTTGTTACCAGGGGAGATGCCATGGTTATTTATGGATACCCTGGCTTGTGCATGTAATAATTCCTGTGAGAGGCAACATAGGCCTTTCTATATTTAGATGGAGAAGGCTTTTAAAAGAAAAATGTCAGCTGTCGCAGTTCTATTTTTAGGGCCAATTCCAACTGAGGATTAATGCAAGTGACAGTTTTAGTCAAGTCAGCAGAACAATTGCCAGCTTCTCCTTCCACTGCAGTATAATATTATAATGTGAAACTTACAATACACTAGAATAAGATGCTTCTTGACACTGATGCATATAGAGCTCAGAGGATGGATGTGATGATATGAGATAAGTATTTCTTTAACTAATTAAGTTCAGGACATTATTGAGTGATTTTCATTATGACATTAACTTGAAAAGAAGAATCAGCAGATTCTAAAATAACCTCCAAGCCCAAAGGAGAATTGACAGTGAAACTTTCTAAACCCCAAACTCTTATGTAATACCCAGTTTCTCCCATCTTGCCAAGTCAGGATTGTCTACACCAGGGCTTTTCAACCTTTTAACCCATTGTACCACTTTTAGGATATGGCAATATCCGAGTACCACCTGTCGCCTAGCAAGGTGTCAAAAACTTGATGACCCCCCCNGGTAGTCCTCGACTTACAACAGTTCACTTAGTGACTGTTCAAAGTTACAATGGCACTGAAAAAGTGCCCCCCAAGCCACAGCTGAGCAAGACACTGCCTGCCCGCCCGGTGGCGCTCTTCCTCCTATCCAAGGTTTTCATTGTTGTGAGCATTTCTGTTGAGGATTGGCAGTGGGGGTGGGGTGGGGGGGTGTTTGGTTTTTATCCCCCCCCCCCGTCTGCTGGGTGGTTGCAGCAGGTTTTGGTCACTTCACATGACCCTGGGACACTGTGACCGTCATAAATATGAATCAGTTGCCAAGCATCTGAATATAAATCACAAGACCCTGGAGAGGCTGCAACATTCCAGCTGATTGGCACTTCTTCTGGGCTCAGCAGAAGCGCCAGGATCAGCACTGAGCTCCAGCTGGAGCCTGGCGCTGATCCTGGCGCTTCCGCTGAGCCCTGACAGCCCTGCAGCTCCAGCCATTTCTGGCTCAGGCTTGTGCGGTGCTGCCACCGGTTCAGCTCATTCCCCTCCCCCGCTACCACTTTTCTAGGATGGTCACGTACCACCTGCCAGGTGCCAATGTACCACAGGTGGTACCCGTACCACTGGTTGAAAAGCCCTGGTCTACACAGCTGAAACCAGTCCCCATAACCCTCTCTCCATAAATGTTTTGTGGGACACACTGGGATATTTTGGCACATACAGGTAGCTCTTGCTTACTGACTGCCTAGCGACCATGCAACATTACAAAAGTGTGAAAAAACCAGCTTTGTCACCAACTCTCCTATTAACAATTGTCACAGCATATCGCAATCACATCATGGACATTCACACACTTCACAACTGGCTTTCAACAAGCAGAGTTAATGGAGCACATAGAAATAAAATTGTAAGTCACAATCACATGATTTCTCACTTAATGACTGCAGTGATTCCTTTAATGACCAAAGGGAAGTGACATCATAAGTCTGTTGCAGCCATGTAATTAGCTACCAAGTGGACAATCCCAACTATGGTAAGTAAACGAGGATTACTTGTATTCACGTGTGCAAATGTATATCTATACCCACACCACATCCAAAAGTTATATGCCAAAGAATGTCAAAACCAGCACACACAAAAAACCATTAATGAAATTAATATCTATTGATTGAAAATAATTTGCTATAAAATAAGGTAGTCCATTTATAAAACAGACCCCTCTTTATGTATATGAACTGTTCCCATGCACGGAAACCACTCTTTTACAAACAGATGCAAACATCTATATTCATAAACATTTTCCTCCTTTCTAGTGGGGGGAAAAAGAGGGGGAAGTGTCCAACTCTAGGGGGCAGTGTTCATCTCTGTTTCTTAGCTGAGGGAGCCAGCATTGTCCAAAGACATTTCTGTGTCATGTGGCCAGCATGACTATATGCATGGAGCACTACTACCTTCCCACTGAAGTGGTACCTATCTATCTACTTGCATTTGCATGCTTTCAAACTGCCAGGTCGGCAGGAGCTGGGGCAAGTAATGAGAGCTCACCTCATTGCATGGCACTCAGGTCTCGAACTCAGGCTGTCAACTTTCCAGCTGACAAATTCAGTGTCTTTAATTGCTGAGCTAGTGTCCCTCCAACATCTACATGCATACAGCCCAAAGTCCTGGTGGGAAAGAGAGCAAGCAAGAGCTCATCCCATTCCAATATTTTCATCCTTTCTTTGTCCTCAAATCAAAGCTCATCTATCATTGCAGAGTTATCATTAATTAGTTTAATGAAGAGAAGGATTAGGGGTGACATGATAGCAGTCTTCCAATGTCTCAGGGGCTGCCACAAAGAAGAGGGAGTCAAGCTATTCTCCAAGGCGCCTGAAGGCAGGACAAGAAGCAATGGGTGGAAACTATTCAAGGAGAGAAGCAACCTAGAACTAAGGAGAAATTTCCTGACAGTTGGAACAATTAATAAGTGGAACAACCTGCCTCTAGAAGTTGTAGGTGCTCCAACACTGGAGATTTTTAAGAAGAGATTGGACAACCATTTGTCTGAAATGATATAGGGTTTCCTGCCTGAGCAGGGGGTTGGACTAGAAGACCTCCAAGGTTCCTTCCAACTCTGTTATTCTGTTAACTGTTACTGGTGTCATGAATGGGGAGCCATATAAATTAAATAAATGAATTATCCAAGATTCAGGAGGCTTATTTTCTTCAGTGAGGTGTTTTGATTCAATCACCAGAGTTTCATATTCATATTTTCAATGAAACAAGGTACCTCTTCAAAGACATGTGCATCCTGAATATTTCCATCAGCTCCAATTTTCATGCTTATTACATTCAGAAAAGAAGTGATACTGTTATCTGAATTATTTCCAAGTGAATCTTTTTATAAAAATTAGAAACACTTAAATAAATTAATGTAACCATAAAATATTCAATCATTGACAAACAAGTAATTACCAAATGTGCATAGTTTTTTTAAAAAAAAATAAGTGACATGGATTAAGCATTTGTTACTAAAATTCTACCTCATTTGGTTTAAAAACCAAAACAAATGGAAAAGCATTATGGCCATATTGCTTTTTCATACTAAATCAAAATGATATATGTTAATTAATTCTAATTAATTTATTTTTTATTATACTGTAAATTTTTACTCTAATTTCTTATGCACTTCAATTATTTTCAAAACTGGTTTCTTTTTTTAATCATATTCCATTTTATGGAGTGCTTCATTCAAAGAATATGATGAAAGGCTCTCCTTCCCTCTTGCTTGCTGTATAATTTCTGGGTTTTGCTCCCCAGTATTAAAAAGTACTTGTACTGGAGCTTTAGCCAGCTTTTAAAAGAAACTTAAAACTTTCTGCTTGATTTATAAAACACCTCCTTGTCCAAGTAGGTTTATCAAAGTGGTTAAGTGCATAGTACAAATATAAGACAGCTTATGAAGCAAAGATAAGCAACCCAATCATATAAGAAAAATTAAAAATTCTGTCCTTATCCCTATGGATGATATGTGTCTTTCTCAATCTTGGGTTCTCTACCCAAACCTGCAAGTTTGAGGCAGTGATGGGATTCAAATATATGAACAACCAGTTCTCTGTGTGGATGCTGCTTCTGGAAGTCCAACAAAAAATTAGCTACCGGTTCTGCCGAAATGGTGCGAACTGGCTGAATCCCACCACTGGTTTGAGAGGTCTGTGCAGTATCTCAACTGTTCCTAGCACTGAACTCTTGTGGACAGAGAATACTGAAATTGTTGTTGGAATCTGTTGAAACCTCTCTCCCAAATAATTAGGAGTCATAGTCCCATCACTGGAATCACTTTGGCCTTTACATTCCACACTCTCTTTAGTTCCTCTTTCAGACCATGGTACTTCTCCAGCTTTTTATACTCTTTCCTGATGGTGCTGTCACTCGTCAGCTCTACATCTACCACCACTGCTGTTTTCTGGTCCTTGTATCCTTGTCTCCTACCCTGATGTCTGCCTGATTGGCCAGTATCTGCCTTCCTATCTGGAAATCCCACAAGATCTTAGCCCTGTTATTCTGCACAACCTTCTGTGGAATCCCCTACCTGGTTGTGCCATTCAATGTATGTTGTTCCTACCTGCATGTTGCACCTTACCACTACATGTTGGACTGCCTCTGAGGTTTCTCTGCATACTCTGCACCTTGGACCCTGTCTAGTGCAATCAACCCCTGCAGAATGAATCTGATATATAGTGCCTGTTCTTGTGTTGCTATGATCTGTGCCTCAGTGCTATCTTTTAATCCAGCCATTTCCAGCCACCGGTAGGATTTTCCAATTTTAGGCACCTCAGCTACCTGTAATAATTTTTGCTTTTCTATTTACAGAATACAGAATAACAGAGTTAGAAGGGACCTTGGAGGTCTTCTAGGAGTTTGATTCTGTTGCTCCCGAGGACGTGGACAGGGTCTTGGGAGGGCTGAACGCAACCACATGTTTGTTGGATCCGTGCCCCTCCTGGCTGGTACTGGCAGCCCGGGAGGGTACACGAGCCTG